AAACTGCTATTTTCAATGACTACTTATTTTTGTCTAGCATATCGGATATCGGCCAAAATCCCAATATCGTGCATCCCTAATATAAACTGTATAATTTCATAACACAAAATGGTTTTCCTAGTTCAGTTTCTTGCAGAAGGGACTACGTCGTATCAGAATGCTACAGATGTACAGACATTGTTAGAAAAGCCTCTTAGACGAGGGGGTGGAAAAAGAAGAAAGGTTCAGTTATTTTCTGCTTAAACATCTGAGAAAACCCAGATTTACTGTATTCACTGTGATTGCTGCTCTGTTGCTGATTCCCCTCGACTCCAGTCTGATATTGAGAGATGCGGACCATTATGGATAACACGCAGCCCCCCTCCAATCCCCAGAGTATAACAACTCCCACCCCAGGCAGCCACTAAAAGCTACTCAACGAGGAAAGAAAACACAACTTTTAGCTATAAAAGCATCTGTTACAGGACTCAGAGGTCCATTTGACCAATGGTTTCTACTACCCATCTGTGGACATTTCTCCAGCAGATATATAGTTACTGTATAGTCCTAACAAATAAATACTCAGATGTTGCTCATCTCAGCAACCAACAGCAGAGAGAGAGGGACAGCTCCCCGATCGATGACGGCGTAATGCAAAAAGACCATCTACACTCACACCAGAGGGCAATTAAGAGCAGCCAGTAGAGCTAACATCCATCTTTCTGGGAGAGTGGAGGAAACCGGAGGAGCCTAAGATGCCAAATCCACACTGAAAGGCTACACAAAACCAAGCCGCCAAGCAGACATGAAAAGCACATCTGAAGCACAAAAAGCCAATCTAGAAGAGTCATTTCTGGAACAAAGATACAGATGGGAGCAGTTTTATTACTGTTGGGTAACGTAAGGATAAGCTTCAAAGCTAAAATACACACATTAAAGTTGCTCATTGATTTATCATCATTTTAGCATAGAGTTTTGATTTGTTCTTGTTACTGTATCTTTAAACACAGTACTGTGAAAAAGTATTAGCTCCCTTACCGATATTATCTGTTTATTTTTGTCAGAATTAAATGTATATTAAAGCAAAATAAAATTTGTGTAAATAAATGAAGCAGCTTTTAAACCAGGCTTTTGCGTGAGTGACTCATAAATCAATGCATCACATTGTTTCAGTTTAGCTTCAGCCACACTCAGACCTGATTCCACCAAAACTGCAGAACCAAATCATTATTTTAGAACCTGTCTCACAACTTGAAGTAGGCAGACATATCTTAAAAGGGCCTTTATAATGCAAAATATATTTATTTGAGCTTTTAACTGTTACAATGCTAGTCCTTCATCCAAATCATGTTCATAGTGGCGTTTTGCAAGATTCATGCGTCTCTGAGTAATCCACATGAGTTCTGCTGTCTGAGCAGCAGCTCCTCCCTGACACGTGGAAACCACGACGATTTGTACATCAGAGAGCTGCTTCCAGGAAGCAGCTTCCTTAACTACGCTACGCCTGCACTGATTACAGATGAAATTGTTCTGCAAACAAGGAGGGATGATGTGAGGCGCAGCTTATCTGCACAGGGCAGCAATTTTTCTTTTAAGCCAGAGGTCACGGATTAGCGGACAGCGGTCCAGGTCCGGACCCTCCTGCTGGCTAATCGGGACCTAACCTGATTGAAAACATTTATAAATTAATGCATGTTATCCAACGACAGGGTCTAACTTCACTTGTGCTGCTAATCCTGTTAATATGGTAAAGCCATTCGGAGCGTCTGGGACCAGGCTGCACCTGATCCAAATTAGCCAATAAGCTGCTGTCAGTCTGGGTTGCTGCTGCTGCTACTTTTAGACACAGCAGGCAAACCTGTGGCAAGCCACACAATGAGAAAGAGGAAGATGATGAGAAAAAGAGAGCAGAGAAACTGGACTGCTGAAAGAAAAATGAAATGGCATGCTCAAAGATGACCCTGCACATTTTAAGTATGTTTGGCTCAACCTGCTGCTGTGAAGCAGGATTCTCCACCATGAACAGAATCAAAAATAAACATCGAATCAGGCTCACGAATGAGCACCTTGATATGTGCTTTAGAATGGCTTTGTTTCCATTTAATCCCAGGTTTAAAGCCTTGCAGGGCAGCCTAAAGCCCACTGCGAACATTAAACCATAAAAAAGAAAGAAAAAAAATTAACAGTCAGTTCAGGTGTTTTATAAAATATGTGAATCAGGAAATTGTCTATATGCCAAACTGAACGATTGTTGTTCTCTACTTAAAGCTACAGTGTGTAATAATTACAGGGATATACAGTCAGAAATGTAATATATTATACATAACTATGTTATTTATCATCATCTACGAGCTCAGCCTCTTAACCTTAATATTTGCGTTGCCTTAGAATTCGTTATTTATAATTACATAGGAGCGGGTCTCGCAGCCATGGAGGCAGACATCTTTGCGCTACGGCAGCGCAGAGGCAACAAACTAGCGATTGCGAGATCGCCAAAACGTCACAACGATGTAGACAAAATAACGGGTATATTTATTATCTTAAGTTTACATGAAATCTATACCCTACACAGACTAATGAAATACTATCTGTAAAATTATCTATGTAAACAAACCTCATCACTTGAGAAGGTAGGTGATGCGGACGTTGTGGAAGACATTTTGTCCCGTAACGCTCGCCGTACTGTTGGGGGGGAGAAGCGGTGGGGGGGGGATGTTCATGTTGCTGCAGTCTGCAGTCTGACCGCTAGATGTCGCTAAAAGTTACACACTGTAGCTTTAAAAAAACACTTTAGATTTTAAAATAGGAAAATTTTCTATTTTTTTATTCAAAATGTAGTCAATGTATAAAATTGATGCATAAACACCTCACATTATATCAGTGTTAAATTCTGTTTAAAGTAATGAATTATAATAAAAAATGTCACCGCAGCTTTACTGGCTTTTGTTTTTCTATATTCTGACCCTGCTGATTTTTAATTGGTTACCCTTGTTTTAAGCCAACGTCTAAGTTGTGAAAATCAATTTTGTGGTCTCTCAGTGGTGGGAGGTCTCTGACGTTGATCAACCTTCAGAATTGAGTTTTTATAGTGACATCATGAAATGGGCGGGAACCAGACAGGGGCTTTCTTTTACCTGGGATTGGAACAAAACATTCATTCAACAAATCAATCACCCTATATTTCATGAGGTTTTATTTCATCTTATATTTACCTATTGATGAAATCTGAAGGCTTAAAGGGGAACGCCTTTTTTTTTTTTACATTGGGTCATTGATTTTCCGTTATTCCATCATGTTCTACTCACCCATATGAGTTTTGTGTCATTTGAAGCCATTCTGAAGACATTCAGTTAGGTTATATCCAAGTAGTGTCTTCCTATGGGCAACGAGTTGAAGGCACAAACTAAACTGTTCATAATTTATTCTATATGGTACGCCAGCATTAATAACACTGCGAATCACTGCAGCAGTTCAGCGGAAAGTATGAATGAATGGTAGCCGGCGCGCACGGATGACGTCATACACGCTCTGCTGGGTGAGTAGGACATGATGTGATGATGTAAAATCAAGGGCCCAATGTTAAAAACCCGTCGTTCCCCTTTAAGGAGGCAGGATATAGAACATATAAGTACTAAACTTCATCCTCCTATTTTAAGATTTAAGAACATATAAGATACAATCTATACAAAAAAAGGGGAAGATGGCCTCCATGAGAGACCATAACCACTGCTGACCAAAAGAAAAACAAAGGTCTCACTTTTCCCATAAACATCTTTTTGACTGACAAGACAAAAAGGGGAATTTTTGGAAGCTAGTTTGCCTTATCAATGCTGTATAAAAACTGAAAGAATCAGAGACATCATCCCCACAGTCAAACACTGTTGGTAGTATCATGGTCGGTTACTTTTCTGCTTTAGGAGCTGGACAACATTCCTGATGCAGACCTTATTTTATGACCTTATACCCAAACTGGATGCTGCAGCGGGACGTTGATCTGCAGCAAACAAGTCAGCTTCTAAAAGCTTCTAAAAATTAAATATTTCTGATGTGGAAGTGGTGAGTTATCCCTGCTACTTAAAGCAACAATAAAGATATTTTAACTTGTTTTGCAGGTGGTTTCCAAATTTTTTTCTTTTTTCTGGAAGAGTCAGTTTCTGGTACAGAGGTGTGTCCATACAGAGGCAGAAATTACAATCTATCATAATGCAACAAGGTAATTTTGTATTTTCAATAAAAGTGAGTGTAGATCTGCTTTATATGCAAAAAGTTCAACTTAAAATACTTCTGCTCTGATGAATGTTACTAATAAAATAAATCTAAAATAATTAATAACATCAATACAAGAAAAGGGGAAACAGTTAAATAATGAAGATTTTGGGGTGGCCTAGTCAAAGTCTTACATTAAGTCTCATTGAGATGCTGTGGTATGAAATAAACAGGCTGAATAAAAACATTCCTGCTAAGCAGAGAGAACCATATTTCCTGGAACAATCTATTAGTAGGTTTAGTTTTTAACAGACCTGCTGGTTTGGAGCTTCCTTTTGCTCTAAATAGATAAAATCGTATAAGAAAAGGTTTTTTGTTTTTAATCTAGGGTATCTTTGACACTAAAAGGTGTTTGATATGCTGACATATTTAACAATGACATAACAAAATAAAGAATAATGCACTTTTTTCCCCCCATCATTATAATAGTGATGTAATCAGCCACATTCACGCTTGAAAACAGCAGCTGTAAAGGCACCAAGGCTTGAAACCAGAGAGGGAGAAAAAAAAAAAAAAACACTCTTTCAATTACGACATCCATCGGGAAGAGGGAGGGGGGACTCACCCTGTGAGTACGACCACGAAGTCCATTACATTCCAGCCGTTGCGGAGGTAGGAGCCTTTGTGAAACGCGAAGCCCAGGGCGATGATCTTAATGGCGGCCTCGAAACAGAATATTCCAATAAAGTAGGGCTCTGTGTCGTCCTAAAGAAAGACGGAGAGGAGGAGATTGGCTGTTTTTCTGAGAGGTAAGAGCTCAAGGAAGCATGAAGGGAGGCAGATAGTGAGGCAGAGGAAGAGAAATATACAGCTGTTCGACAAAGTATTCACACCCTTAGTAGTTTTCATGTTTTGTCACTTTAGAAACCACAAAAATCAGTCATTTCATATTTTTATGGAATAGAACTCCAAGTAGTGCATAATAGTGATGATTGGGGTAAAAAGAAGTATGGTTTACATATAAAAATCTGAAAGTGCAGCATACGTTAAAATTAAGCTCCCTTTTTACTCAGATGCACTTAAAGGAATAGTACACCCAAAACATGATTAGCCTTCATTTTCTACTCACCCCCATGCTGAA